AGAAAACCCTATACCATATCAGACAAATAGTTGTCCAATCTCTGTTTACAAACCTCCAGTGTTGGAGCATTCATAACTTCTGGAGGCAAGTCATCCCACTGATTAATTGTTCTGTCAGAAAATTTCCGTGAGTCTATGTCATGCGTGGGGAGCCTCCAGAGGGCAAAAAATCACCCAATGCGCAAACCGGAAGTTCAGGAATGGACTTCTGATTTGTGTGTTGGGCTGTTTTTCGCGCTCCGGAGGCTTTAGGACGCCTCCTGAAGCTGCTGGAGAGCGAAAAAAGGCCCAATGGGTAACCTGGAAATCTGTTCCCGAACTTTCGGTTTGCGTATTGGACTGTTTTTTGCCCTCCCTAGGGGCAAAAAGGTTTGCCATCACTGCTCTAGTAATTGCTGTTAGAATTTGGCAAGAATCAAATGTATAGGTTCCAGGCTAGACCAAATAATGATGCAAACCTGATCATTGTCATTTAGCTTTTATTAATCTCAATGCAAAATTACTGAAGACATTCCTGGATTCACCAATGTTGAAGGATGTATGCTGAGAAAGGCTGATATTGATGAAATTGCTATGGTCAAGTATACCAAAATGAAACAGGTTCCAAATGCTGCTATGCAGGCATTACTGAAATAGGCATCACTCTGCAGATGTATACTGAATCTGTTCAATTCAAAGTTTTCTTTTAGTTGTAAAAATAAAAGTGCTACTTTAACTATTTGAATTAATCACTTTTGCTCCTGTTTCATGCCAAAGGATGCACTGGATTTTTTCTGCAGTTGGTGTGGAGGGGGTAAACATTTTATTGTCCTGACCCAGTGGTGGGTTTCAAAAAAATTTGGAACCTACTCTGTGGGTGTGGCCTCCTTTGTGGGAGTGGCTTGCCACCCATGTGACCTGGTGGGAGTGGCTTGCCGGCCATGTGTTGTCTTTCTTTCTTTCTCTCTCTCTCTCTCTCTCTCTCTTTCCTTCCTTTTGTCTCTCTGTCCCTTTTTCTTTTTTCTTTCATCTCTCACTCTTTTTCTTTTTTTCCCTTTATTTATTTCTTCCTTTCTTTCTCTCTCTCTCTCTCTCTCT